GAATCACATAGAATCACAATGAAACACGAAGCAGCAAGGAACGTCGTATTCACCCAATCCCACGTAGCATAACCTTTCTCGCACTGACAAATCGATGGGAGCTGTCAGTATATACTTCGATCGCTTTGAAGTTGAAACTGGAAGTTACGAACCAGTTGTGATGATGATCATGATAGCATATGATAGATTATGATAGCATATGATAGCTGATGCCAAGGGATGCCAAGGGATGCCAAGGGATGCCAAGGGTCAAGACAAGGACAACGGCAGTGGTGGCTCAGGCCATGCGGCGCCACTGCGGCTCCTCTGCTGTCATGACTTTGCCACCAGGAGTTGGAGTGAACACTTCCTGCGGTGAAGCCGATGGGGAGAACTGCCTGCAACCCTGCCTGCATCTACAATCTGGATATACTGTGATATGTTTACTTTCTCTGTTTCAATCATGTTATGTCGTATCTAACAACTTGATACAACTTGCCTGTGCGTCCTTCAACAGCCCTGGCAAGCCAGTGAAAAACTCTTGCAACTAAGAGTTTCCAGGTGCGCATGTTTTGGCCAGTCCTCTCCATCCTCTGGCATACAATATCGACCTCAGAAAACAAGAAAAGAATTAAAATTAACTAAGGATTAACTAAGGTATTCGCAGGCCTTCCGACCTTCCTTTTCCTTGCCACATTGATCTTTTCCGAAAACTCGCTAGCTTTGTGACATACCTGGGATCATGCTGCTACAGAAATGCAGCCATGGCTAGCAAGAAAAAGTGAATCTGCAAGGTAAGCTAGTGAAATATTGCTTTCACACGCACAAAAAGCATGAGCAAACCGAGTGTAGGAATTTCAATTAGACTCATGTAGACCTTCCCAATTCAATATTCACTGCTTTGAAATGCTTCGCATCTTGATGCTGCCAGCTCACACTTTAGATTGCAGCGATCTGTCAAAGACACCCGCAGGTAGTGATGCCTCTTGAGCTGCTGCAATGATTGGCACACAGGATTCGAGGACATGTGGCTATATCGCAGTCGAGTTTGCCCACCAAAAACTTTTCAGAAGGTAAAGTAAGGTCAAATAGCATCAAGTAATAAAAATCGTTCCATCTTTTTGCGAAAGAAATAGAAAACCAGGTGAAAACCAACCTCTTTCACGAAATGGACAGGCATTTCACAGCCTAGACTGACTTTTTGTAGGACTGGGACGGTGTTTAGATTACAACCTTCGCTCACTTATCTCAACCCGTGAGCAACAATGATCTCCGTATCGAAGCTGACACTTGCACAGGCATAAGGACCCACCAGTGCACCTTCGACCAAAGGTGTCCACCAAGGAAGGGTGGATCCCAGCATTCACTACCTGACAAGCGGAGCACAAAGCAAAACCATATAAAACTTATCAATCCCACCCAAGTCACTGAATCCACAGGATGGGGATGGATGGGGATGGATGGAGGAGCCCTTTGAACATTTTGAATCCTTTTGGGAAATTTTGGGGTCAACATCGCTGATTGGTCCACAGTTCTGTTGGTTGAGGATGTTGAGGTCCACAGTGATTCTGATTCTGTTGCTGACACCGACATACTCGGGCAGCCGGAATGTTTCCCGCTTGGGATCTCGGCATGCCGGACTCTGCCGCAGCTCGGTCGAAGCCTTGGGTTTCAGGACTATTACAATACTGATGTGCATGATTGCCTACATTTATGAGCATTTGGCATCATGATTGTCCAGATCTGCGACACAATAAAAGTTTCATTGATCTTAAGATATATTGAGAGTCTACCCTGGGGATCCCCAGGGTTAGTACAATTCTCAAGCCCAACAAGATTCAGCACTTATACCAATAATGTGCTCGTTGTGCTCCGGACAATCAGGGTCACTCTATAATCTTGCAGTACCAGTCAACATCCTGTCCATCAAGCAGCTTGCAACGATGCAAAAGAAGCGGCTTGGTCGCAGCTCACGTTTTTGCGGCCGCAGTGAAGATGCGGACCGATGTTTGGTGCTAAAGCATTTTTTTTCGTTCTTTAGCCCGTTTATATAGCCTCAGCCACCATCTACCAACCAGCTTCAAAAGGCGGTGGTAAATGCATGCCGATCTGCACGATTTCCCAGTGAGAGATGTGTATTTGCTCAGGGCATCGTGCGTGCCGCTCGGCGGAACCTCCTGCTCCACCAGCAGCTTGAGCTGTCCACTGGTGCATGGCTGGCACATTGACCCTGTGCTCCAGTTTCAGCTGAAGAATCAAAATCAAACTGTCTACTTCACGACCATCGGTCAGTGCATTCAGCTCGCCAACTCGAAATGTCAGGAGCGACTGCAATGCTGAAAGGGTAATTCTGGAGATTTCAGAAACATGCTGAAGAATCATAAATCATCCGGACTTTTTTGTTTATCTGGTATCATATGGATCATATGGTGTCTTCGTTGATCATCTCTTCATTCTGCAATCTGGGAGAGCCCCCCAATGCAAGATTCATCAACTTCTGTGCATCAAAAGGCAAAAGATGGCAAAAGTATACTGAAATTCTCCAGTCCCTGACAGCCCAAGAGTTTTAAAACACATCTTTGATCCCGTGGCAAAACTTGTGAGGCTCCATGCCACACCAAAAGCAGCCCCTTCTGCCAAAAGGTCCCTCGAACCACATTGGAACCGGGATCTTTCCCTTACTACTTTGCTATACTTTGCGCTGGCGCCTTGCTCAGCAAGTTGCGCAAAAAGAAAAAAAAGGAGACTTCGGCAGCATCCACTCCCTGACTGTACCTCAGACCATGCATCGAACGGCATCGAACACATTCCGCAATGGAAGTCCAATTAGGTCACTGTCTCACGGTTCAAATCAACATACGCACACGAGCAGCACATCTGGTCGAATCACGGTGGTCTGATGCTTATGATACTGTCACATACTGTCACTATGTCACTATGCTACTTTGCTGTTGAACGTTGGAACACTTGCAAGAAACATCTGGACAGGCTGAGTCATGGACACAAAGCGAGATGCCACCCATGCGCCTGGGATTAAAGGCATGTGCTTTGGGATTCCTGAGCTGAAGTGTATTGATGAATCGCAAATCAGTAAGATAACCAATAACCATACCGAAAAAGGATCCCAGGAGCTTGCAGGTCAAGTCGTGTGATTTCTACGAAAACGAATTCATACCTATATATATCTATGCATCTATACTATTCTGTGCCGCGCAAGGCGGCGGAAGTTTCAAAAATAGGGAAACCTATAGGAGAAGTTCGCTGTTGTGAATCACAGATGGCAGAGCGAACCGGTTGATTGACCGAAAGGTGGTTGGAGTTGTGTCTTTTGGAGTGGTTACTGCAGTGGTCACCTGGTCAGCCACCCCACCCACAACTGCTGGATGTAGTGTGGTGTAGTGCAGCTGTAGTTGTAGTTGTGGTGTAGTGGGGTTGTAGTTGTGGTGAAATGCAATTAGTGTAGTGTAAAGTACGGTAGTGTAGTGTAGTCCAGTGTAGTGTAGTGTAAAGTAGCGTAGTTGTAATTGTAGCTGTAGTTGTAGCTGTAGTTGTAATTAGTGCAGTGTAGTGTAGTGCGGTGTGGCGTTGTGTAGTGTAGTGGAGTGTGATGTAATTAGTGGAGCACAATGTAGTGTAGCGTAATGTAATGTAGTGTAGTTGTAGGTGTAGTTGTAGATGTAGTTGCAGTTGTAGGGTAATTGAGTGGAGTGGAGTGGAGTGTAATGTAGTGTAGTGGTGGTTGTAGTTGAAGCTGCTACAAAACCCTGACGTTTTTCTCACTTTTGACAAGGTGCACAATCCCTTGCGCTTGCCACGCAAAACGACCTCTGAACGTCCAAAAGTGCTCCGAACCTGTCAGTTTTTTGCACTCTTGACTTCGAAATGTGCTTCGTGCCACAACGGCGTGCGCTTTTTCGACATCTCAACTTCCAAAAGGGGTCCGGAGCTGGGGTGTTTTGTACATTTTGACTTGGGAATGTGCTTCGCGCCACAACGGCGTGCACTTTTTCGACATCTCAACTTCTGAAAGTGCTCCGAAGCTGAGGTGCTTTGTGCATTTTGACTTGGAAATGTGCTTCGCGCCACAAGGGCGTGCAATTTTTCATCTCTCATCTGGCCAGATGGCTCCACCCGCTGCTTTAGCGAGCCTACTTTTCGACCCTCCGGAGCCACAAACCATTGGAAAAAACACAGTGAATCGCGACTTTTCTACCTTTTCGCGCGCCTGCATCTTCTTTCTTATGACTCTTTCTCTTCTCTTCCCTTCTCTGACTCTTCCCACTTCTTCTTTTCCATCTGTCCATATTGTCGGAAGTTCGACTTCTAAACTTTAAACTTCCAACGACTATTCTGTAATATTCTATAGTCATATATGATATCATATATGCGTTATGCTCACTTTGCTTGTGCCAAGTTATGCCAAGTTAGGCATCATCTGCTGTCACTTGTAAATCATTGCTGTAGGGCCTCAGTGACATCGTATGACATCGTATGACATCGTGTGACATCCTAGGGATTTTGTCACCCACACGCCGGTTTTGCTTCCGGCCTACCACAGCAGCCATGTAATTGCTGGGTATGCGCTGTAAAATGCACTCCACAGTGAGATGCTGAAGCATCACCTGGGCCACAAGTTGTGGCAGAGGTTGACGTCCCTCAATGGCCAATGGCTTCATAGACAAAACCTGACAAAACCACTTCTGAAACCTCAGGGGTCTAATTCAATTCCAATGTCAAACACGATGTCCACCAGAATGCAGGGCATCTGAAAATCTGAAAGTAGACAATCTCCAAATGTCTTTTCTGCCCAGTCACAGGAGGAACTGCAAGCTCAAGTACTTGTCTGACAAGCCTACGGCTCTTGTCAGAAGAAGGCCCAGAAACTTTGCATATAATGCGTCTAATGCACATAGACATACATATCGCAGAGCACTCATCGGAAGATACCGGACGAAACGACTTAGGTTCTGTTCCCTCTTTGCTTGTCTTGAGGAACTTGCCCTATTGCAGAAAGTCTTGGCAACAGTTCTCTTTTGGCCCCCCTCGAAAGACAAAATTGGCATCAATCATATTAACTTATCATAAATTGGCACCTTTCCAACCAACTACAGGTCACTCGGCGAGTATCTGGGACCCTGAAAGTCTGGGACCTTGAAAATCTTGAAAGGACACCTGGTTGGGGGTTAGGTAAATCACAAGAATTGTTTTTCCTCTTCCACAGTTGAACTACAAGTCGAGGATACTGAAGGTAGACTGATCTTTGAACGAAACAGCTTAAGGCTGCAAAATGCTGCAAAGCAATCCCACGACGTTCCTTAATCGATGTATGTTATCTGTATGTTCGCATTACTCCCAATAGGATCTCGACCGATTTCCACGGGCACATCATCGCACCTCTCCCGCTCTGAGCTGCACATGCTGATGAATTGCTCCATGATCGCATCCTGCCAAACATAAGAATCATAAGACCTCCCCCACAGCAAATGTAAAAAAAGGCATCTCCAAGTGGAAGCAACGTCCTTCTTCGAACCTCTCATCTGCGGTCGGTAATGATTAGACAATTTATATATTTTATATAGGATAAAGCAAGTTGAACATCAATGAAGCCAGTACATCCTGCTAAGGCCGAGTGCTGGTCTTTACAAGTAGGAGCAGTTGTTGTGGCACAACGACTACAGCACACTACTACAGGGATGTCATATAGCCACCGTATGTCCTGCAAGCCATTAATCTTACCTTGGCAAATCAGCAAGGACCGATTTGGTGTGATTGCAGGCGAAACCAGACATGAGCTTTTTGAGGCCGGAACACTGCGCAACCCCAGTCCAACCAAGTTTAAGTGAGGTTGGTGTCTGCCACAGCCACATGGCCGTTTCCAGACCGAAATGCCGTGAAAGTCCAACTCTGATTTGCTGGCCGTGTTGCTGGAGATCAGCTTCGTTGCCTGCACTTTTGAGATGCCACGCTGGTTGCAAGTCCTTGGTGGTCAAGCATGATTGCAGCTCATCCAACATGGGTAATCAATTTCTTGCTTTCGCACGTCAATAGTATCTGTGTCTTGAAACTTGTCGTCATTTTTTGGAACTTCACCATGCTGTGTGCAATTTTGATGTGAATGCTCCAGGACTCCAAATTGCTCGGAACTCATTGCGAGCATTTTCGACAATGGTGTCCTAGCAGGGCAGGGCAACACGCATCCTCCACTTAGTCATGAGTCATGTCCGATTACCACGATGGCGATGATGACGATCATGAGCATGATTATGATATATTATGATGGTGTCACTGAACTGGTACCAAAGCGCCACCATCCTGACTCATGTATAAACAAACCGCGGAAGAAAGTTGAATTCATTTTCGTCAACGATGACTGCAAGGTTGTTGTTTCACAGAGACTCCCACGAGTCAGTCGCTTGCCTCGCACAAGAACTGAAATCAGTATGACTAGTGACTAGCTGCCTAGCTGTTTCTTTACCCTTTTTGAACACCCTGCTCCTGTATCTGCCTCACATACGTTTCGTAGAACGTTGGTGGCACACCACCACAAGCTGGATCAAAGCACATCATGGAGGAATGGTCCTGGACATGGTAGACACGATTTCAACATCTGCAACGTCCAACCGCAAAGAGCAGGGAACTTCTCATATACCAGGACTTGACATTGCACCGGGTCGGCTGTATTTTGCAACTGTCTTATTCGTCTTCTACATCCACAATCTATGCCAAGTTCCAAGAATGACCATGACCCGGAACCAGGTCAATATGTAAACAAGTGCCATGACTGCACATGGAAGTACCACGACCAAAAGTTTATCTCCTGCGTACTATGAATCTGCATTCAAACCAAATGGAGTTCTTTGGACAGGTAGACAGGTAGCTGTACAACTCTTGCAATGTTTTGGTCCTACGATTTTGGCGTTTGCTTGCAATAGGAAGCAAGTCCCAACTACATCTGCCCAATGTATAATCTCGGCTTCAGATTGTCTGCAATTCTTGAGCGTGTTGGTATGCAGACTGTATCTTCTTCTTTCTGACACGGATTATCTGCAAACAAAAACCTCAAACGTTTGCCTATTTACAATTCAAAATACAACTCCTCTACAGAAGTATGAGGAAACCACTCTCCAATAATCTACAAATATCTAGGCACCATAAATCTGCTGATTGAATCAGTTGCTGAGACTTTCCCAGCGATAAAATGTACATGTGACTCGGAGCGGGGTTCAAAGTCGCCCCACTCCTCCTCCGTCAATGCCAGCGCGGCTAAGACTTCTAGGGAGCTTGAATTCACGCCACCCTGGCAAAGTGCTTGACACTGGCCTGTCTTAGAAGAATGTTTGGAGAAAGGATTGTTGCCCTTGGGGGGAAAATATAAGAAAAGGATGAACGCGCACAGTACTTTCTGTCAAAAGAAGAACCAGAATGAAATGTCAGGAGAACGGGAAGTGATCGTCGTGTTGCTCCATGTCAAAATGACAACTAGTGAAGCACTCTCAAGATCACTGATCAATGAAAAATCGCGAGACATCAATGCAAACCGGTACATTTTCCTCAGCTGGCTGAGTCTTAATGCAGTCTTAAACGGCATGGTGGCTGAAGAGGTTTTGATCCCTGAGCTCTATCTGCCAATCTGACATGAATTCCCATGTGTTATCACCCTGAATGTGTTCCCATTTTGGCAGGGCCCCCAGGGCAGCAGTTGCCCGGCCTTATTGGTGGATGCATCCTTGAAGATATGGACGCCTGCCGCCTCTAAAATGCCTGTCATGAGCATGAGGCAGCGGCAAAATCTCCTGAAACAAGAACCAAACTGAACTTGCCATCACCTTTATCGGACAATGATAAGTGGGCAGCAACAAATAGGCACCATGTTAATGTTGTATATATAATAGTGCATATTATATAATTCTAAATTCTATATATATATATATATATACATACATATATACACATACATACATACATACATACATGCATGCATGCATGCATGCATACATACATACATACATACATACATACATACATACATACATACATACATACATACCATACCATACCATACCATACCATACCATACCATAAAACTTAAATACAGACCATAAATAACATAAATAATAAATAATACAGTACATTAACATTACATTACATTACATATTACATACATACATTACATTACATTACATACATTACATTAAATTACATTTACATTACATACATACATAACATACATTACATCATTACCTACATTACATTACATTACATTACATAACATTACATTACATACATTACATTACTTTACATTACATTACATTACATTACATTACATTACATTACATTACATTACATTACATTACATTACATACATTACATACATTACATACATTACATACATTACATACATTACATACATTACATACAGTACATACAGTACATACAGTACAATACAGTACATACAGTACAATACAGTACATACAGTACAATACAGTACATACAGTACCATACAGTACATACAGTACCATACAGTACATACAGTACCATACAGTACATACAGTACCATACAGTACATACAGTACTATACAGTACATACAGTACCATACAGTACATACAGTACCATACAGTACATACAGTACCATACAGTACATACAGTACCATACAGTACATACAGTACCATACAGTACATACAGTACCATACAGTACATACAGTACCATACAGTACATACAGTACCATACAGTACATACAGTACCATACATACCATACAGTACCATACATACCATACATACCATACAATACATACATACCATACCATACATACCATACAATACATACATACATACATAATACATACAATACAATACCATACAATACATACATACCATACAATACATACATACCATACAATACATACATACCATACATACCATACAATACCATACATACCATACATACATACATTACATACATACCATACATTACATACATACATACATTACATACATACCATACATACCATACATACCATACATTACATACATTACATACATTACATACATTACATACATTACATACATTACATACATTACATACATTACATACATTACATACATTACATACATTACATACATACCATACATACCATACATACCATACATACCATACATACATACATATACATACACATATACATATACATATACATATACATATACATATACATATACATATATATATATACATATACATATATATATACATACATACATATATATATATACATACATATATATATACATATATATATGTACATATATATATGTATATATATGTACATACTTATGGTAACTATATATACACAAGTGTTCTTGATAATGTTTTTGCCGCTGCAAAATGACTTTCCACAAGAAGCACCGCAGATGTCACCTGGAAGGCCCAGTGGGTCTTACACAAAGCAGTCCCCAATAGAATTTGGTAACATCCGAACCTAAAAAAAGGATAAACCATGTTTCGGGGGTATGTTACCAAATATGTGGTTTACGTACATTATCTGTATTATACATATTATACCAAATGGTTCTATCATTTTCGGGGCTGCAGTATACATATTGTTATGTATATATGTTCGTATGTATGTATTATATATATATATACATACACGCTAAATAAAGATTAAGATCCTCGCTTCTTTGCGCCAAATCCCTGTTCTTGTTGATTGAGTTGACATAAGTTTCCCAATGTCTAAATGACCTTGGAAAAAAATACCTAAACCGTTAGGCCACCAAGGCTATGACCCTGCCATCCTTTTCACTCAGGTGAGGATGTATGGGTTCCTAAAGTGTTTTTTACCGCTCATATATGGGTTATCTTTTTTTATTGGCCTAGTTTCCTTTGATCATCCAAGCTTTCTTCGCCCACCCATCTCGCGCCCGTTTTTCGACAATGCATCACCACTCTTCCTGGTTCATGCCCCGGATTCGGAAAAACAGCGGCTAATTTGTCTTAAAGGATTACTCCCCAAAAGCATTGACCAAATTGATCTCTGCAATATTCTGTAACAATCTTGCTTATATCCCTATGTTTGCTGCTCAAATCCCTCTACGCGAAATCCACAAAATGTGCGACCAAACAATAGTAATCCCAATGTGTTTCATGCACCTCCCATCCTTCAAATATGAAATAGCCCCAAAAAAGGTTTATGTTGTTTATATTTATAGTATGTAGTTTACTGAAAGACTTATTTGTGTTTCATGTTGTTCACTTTGTTTTTGCTACATTCATATTTGATACTATATACATATATATATATGTGATGGTCTTTTTTCATCTAGCTCAGTAAAGTGTTTGTCAAATAGTAGAGTAGTAGTGGAGGTGGAGCCCACATCCTTTGATAAAGCCGCTTGGAACTAGATCCATGGCAGCGAGCTCAATCTGTATGGATAGATGCCTATGTCTATGTATTAACAATACCTACTGTAATGCTTAATAAGATAGCAAAAGGAAATATCTTTGCTAAGGCAGGTCCCCCTTCTGACATCACCAAAAAAATAATTGCCAATGCAGTTGCTTATCTGTGCTGATTACAGTAGATTGGTGGTGCACCACTGAAGTTTGGACCAAACATGATATAGCCGAAACACTGCATTCCCAGAAACGTGGAAAAATGGGGACCTGACAGCGTGCCTTTCTGTTTTTTTCTATTTGGGGATGGGTCAAAACCCTGGTACCTAGTGAACCCCAAAATAGCTGGTAAATGGATGTTCATCCCACTAAAAATGGTATGTATAGGTATTGATCCATAGCCATTTCTTGTCCCAAACTTTTCAGGAGATCCTCCCGCATCGCCTGTCGCAGCTGGAGCCTCTGGGTCTTGCGGCGCTGCGCCAGGCTTCGCAGCTCCTCGCTCCATTCCGCCACGCTCCTCGGGGAGATCGTGGGATTTTTTTATCGTTGATACCCTCTGGTTATGTCAAAATAGCTATTGAAAATGATCATTTATAGTGAGTTTTCCCATGAAAAATGGTGATTTTCAATAGCTACGTTAAATTACCAGAGGGTATCCTGTGTTGCTTTTTTGGTGTTTATGATTTTATACTCACTGAAAAATGGAATATATTTCGCCAACTTGGGGTTCTTCATGGGTATAACTTATGGTATCGTATGGTAATAACCCCCCATAAGTTGGGATAAACCTCTATAATTGTGGTCTGATATCCACTTAATTCACCGGAACTGCGCGCCTAGTGGTATGATTCTATGGGTATTATCTATCCAAATGATTAGGTATCTATCTGATAACTGTGATGTGTATAATTAGGTATCTTCAGTCATCGGGATGATCTTATCTAATTGTGGGGGTATTTTCCAAGTTTATTATGGGATTGATAGACCCAGATCTATATATGTACAAACCCATCTATCTATAGTCATGGGTTTCTTATTTGGGACCTCAAAACCATAGGTGTTCCTAATTCAAAATGACCAATTTTGGATGATGTTGGGTCCCCAATTTTCGAAAGGACCCAATTATGTATATGCTATATATATATATATATACGTTGGAAAATGCATTTGGTGTCGAGTTGCGTATACTGTGTATAGTATATACTTGAAGGGAGCTTGGAGGCTACACCCTCAAATAGATAGAAATCTGTGGTAAGTTGGAATTTGTGTGGTACACACAGGCAAATATCATCTAAAAATATCCTGGAACAATAGTGCTGTCTTTTTTTGGGGGCCCTATTGTGTAACTGGCAATGCTTTTGGTGTGGAGCCAACAATATGCCACTGAAGTCTTTATCCACAATGGGCGGATGTTTAGGAAGCACGGGGATTTGGTAAGCAACCATATGGAGGATTCCCACAAGTTGTTTGACCATATATATACCCTCTGGTAATTTAACATAGCTATTGAAAACGGCCATTTATAGTGAGTTTTCCCATTAAAAACGGTGATTTTCCATAGTTATGTGGCTGTTTACCAGAGGGTATATATCCCAATACCCGTCTTCAACCCCATCTTCACATCCACCCAGGCCCCGGTTGAAACTTCCGTCCCTTGGCCAAATTTCAAGTGCCAAGATGCTCCATATGGCCCGCTTCCTCAGCATGGCAATGAGCTGCCGCTGCCAAGGAGGTCACTGTATGTTGTTATAACACTCTACCATGACACCACTATATGGTATATAGACATAATATAATAATAATCTTTATAGACCTCATAATCTATATGTCTAAAATAATGGTCTATAATAATCTACTCTAAAATAATGATATATGGGATATAGACATAGATCTTTCTCGCAATAATGACTAAAACTGGATTCAGAAAGGATATTAGACCTTCCTCCATCAACCGAGTCAAGAAAGCAAACAGCATACCATTCACCGGTCGCTTTCAACTCGACTTATTCGGTTTCAACTAATTTCAACTCACTTACCCTCCGGTATTTAGTCACATAGTCACAGAGTAATCGTTTCAACACCGCAGTAAGTTCAACGATGTTCCCATTAAAACCTCTATTTCATTCGGGGATTTCCCAGCCATGTTTAGTTCGTCGAGCCGGGTCACCCGTTCGGAGAGCCGCGCCGAACTTTGCAGCTCAGCAGTCCGAGACTTCAACTCCTTCTCTTGCTCCAAATACCTGGCGTAGCTCGGTCACTCGACCCGGTTGGCCTGCAGCTCATAGGGACTATAGGGATACAAAGATAGAAAATGATAGAAACATGTTTCCAATATGGAGCTTTCCGAAGTTTCCAATCCATGGGGGTACCTCCAAATCATCCATAGATGGTTTTTCCATACAAACCATCCAGCTATTAGGATACCCCCATTTATGAAAACCCCCATATGTTATAGATGAGTCGATGAGGTTTTATTCATAATTCCCAGGTTTCTAACTGTTCTATCTATTTGGGTGGTGCTGTAACATACAAGGTCAGTTAGAGATGTGGTAAGGGTAAACCATGATAAACCTGTCGGTTTATTAAGGTGGAAGTGTCATTGCAAATTAGGACTTGTTCTTTGTGGGTGAATGGCTGTTGTTCCAATTAATGGCTGTTATTCACCAACCCACAAATTAGGACCCAAAAAAGAAATCATCCTTCATTTAATCTTTGTGGGTCTTCATGGCTTTGAGAACACAATGGCTAGTTCTACAACCACTAAAATAAACATGGCTTTCCGATTGGGTGTTTTTTCATGCGAAACAAAGCTGCTGGAGATCTCGAAATGCCACCAGCCTGGTGGAATGCCATGATGAAAAATGCCATGAGATGGGAAATTCCATCTCTGATTCCAACTTTTGTTCCCCATGTTGATCATGTTTTCTCCATGTTCACATCCCATGTTTATCCACTCTTGGTGAATCTCTGCATTTCTGCGTAAATCTCCTAGTTCCAGCCAGCCAAAAAGAATCTGTCTGAAAATAGACCTACCCGAACATTTCAGAAGGTGTTTCAACCGTGTTGACAGCCCGCCTTCTCAAACAAGAACTTAAACGGCCATTTTTAGGTGTAAATCCTCACCAAAATCCATCTGGAAATATTTGGCTATTCCCCAACCTGAAACTTGGCCCAGACGGCGGATCACCGGGATCACCGGGATCACCCGACGAGTCGCCTTTTCAGCTTCTCCCTCAACTCCTCCGCCCCATCCTGGCTTGACCTGCGGAGACTTTGGAGATGTGGGATTTCTGGAGGTTTTCTCCTAAAAATGTGGAGGGACCACGAGAACTTGCTGGATTTCATGGATGTTCTCCGAAAAAAATGGATGATTTTTTGGGGTACTGTAACTACTGTAGCCCCATTTTAGGAAACCTCCATTTACATTTATTCACCAATGGAATGTGATATGGGATAGGATGATGGGACAGAGAACCAGCTTAATACAAGAATAGGTTTGTACGAAAATCGTGCAATTCTACCTATATAAGTTATAGGCAACGTTCTGGCAAATCTTACAAGGAAATGAGGATACATAGGGGATTTGCCTGAAATGGTGCAATGAACCAGCGAAATGATATGGACAAGCCACAGTTTCCTCTCGAAATCATCTCTAAACAGTGGATTCTGCATATTTATCTTAATGTGTCGCAGGGTATGGCTATTTATATAGGGACATGATGATGAATCGTCGCATAAACATGCATAAACAACCGGAAATGTGCAATTTAAGCTCCAAATTTTGGAGGCGAAAAAACACATTCTATGAGGATACAATGGAAAGGTTGATATTCCAAGTTATTGGCAGAACAGACTGGATTGCTGTTTGCAGTACTGCAGTCGTCTTGGGACAGGACTGAGTCATACAAACGATACAGCGCTACAGGTATGATGGTCGGAGCAAAACCGGTTACATCTGTAGACAAACCCATGAATCAATTTAGACAAACTTTGACTGTTTTGACCGATAAAATCCATTGTAGGAATCTTCATCCGTGACAGCGGACCCACTTTCATCTAGGCGTGCTGCGATCACCTGCCACCAATCAACTTCAGCCACTCGTATCGGAACCAGAATGTCACGCCCAGATCAACAAAATCTTGTAAGAGTAAGAAGAGTAAGAAGGTTCCCAAGAAAGAAACGGACGAGGAAAAGAACAAAAGGGAGAGGAAGGAGGAGGATGAGAAGCTTAGGATGGAAAAGAAGGAGCAAGAATGGGAAGAAGAACGCAAAAAGAAGAAAAAATATAATGACAAATTCATTTCAGCGAAGAAGGCTGGACAAAAAACGCATACATCACAATGTAGTATGGGTAGTAACAAATGCGCCTCGTCAGTAGGCTAGGTCCTCTTAGTTCTTTTTTGATTGGGTCTATCAAGAAAAATAATTGATGATATATTCAAGTGTTTCTTTCAAGGTAGCCTACATTAGCTGTTTGATTGGAGAGGTTACCCTGACGAAGTGCTCATTCGCTCTAAAAGTTGTTGCCCCGCCAGCTATGCTAGCTATGGGAGGTCTGGTCCCCGCTTATTTCCGGGCACATCAATCCAACTTCATCATCTGAATCATCTGTCAAGCAAGCAGAACCTCAGAACCAGCCCCGGTGCCTGCAACATTGCACCCACACTGAAATTGGAGTGGCAAAATCCCTTCTAGAAATTGCATACAATCACAGTTATGTAATTGTAATTGTGGCTCTGCCCACGGGTACAGTAACGCGTGGCCCATTTTCACCTCTCACACATCTGCGAACAAAACTCCCAGGTGAGCGGGATTAACTCATATGCTCATATTGCATATTCTCATATGGTTCATCTCTTAGTTGGTTCGTTGTATAAACATTATGATCATCCAGCTCGTCACAAAAGCCCCTCAAACGTTGGAGCAAAATCCTCCAATCAACCTCTGGTGGGTGATACCCCAAGAACAAGGAATCATCATCGCAACTATCTACGAATCTACGAATCTACCCTCTGCTAATCAAACGTGGCAACAGAGAATCCACCATCAGGATGTCAATGAGTTCAGGGATTTCCCATGTTTGAAACCACTCACCATCAACGCTGGAGTTTTGAGGGACTTCACCTGTCTGCTTTCGTCGCTTTCGAAGCCGCTTTCGGCGGAGTTTCAGGGCCTTTTCGCGACATGCCGCGACACGGTTCGACATGGTGAAAAACGCTAAGTGAAAGATTTTGACCAATTGAAAGCATGAATGGTATGATATGTTCAGGATATTCACCAGGTGGTTGACATGAAATATTCACCATTTCATAGCATAAACCGTTCATGAAATATTCACCAGGTGGTTGACATGTCATGATATTTTCCTGGACGGATTTGAGATGATCATCCACCCAGTCCGGACAGGCGGACGGGGTCTGAAAAATTGCTTTCCTCGAAAAGAGCCGTTGAAATATACATTTATCTTAATAAACCTCTATTCAGAAGGGTGAAATACATTTCTTTCCCTGACTCTGCATTTCTTGTGGATGATACCCTGAGGTAAACTAAGAAATCAACTTGAAAAAACCCATGGTTGTTACCGGCTTGTCACCCTTTCCGGAAATGCGTGTAAATGGTGGATTCTGCTATGTGTCCTGTGTCCTGGAGGGTGCTTCCTATAAAAATCCACTGGTTCATCATCATGAATTTCCCTATGAAATGATATGAAATGGCCAAAACCTGGTGATTTTTTAATTGCGTTGCCTCGTTGTTCGCCACCCATATGTTATCGCCCATCGGCTTTGATGCGCCTCGCAGTTCTAATGCTTTGACCTTCGATCTGAAAGATGAGAAAATGCTATGGGAGCGCCCATCGAAATAGATAAAATGGTGATTTAGTGTTTTTGAAAATGGTGATTTTCCATAGCGAACTGTGAAATCACCGAAGGGTTTATATATTCTCATTGTTATGATAATATAATGACAATGTTTGGATATAGTTCTACATATGTACTGTATACATATGTAAAAAAAAAAAACTCCATACGATGTTGATGTTATTTCCTCCTGGGAAAGCCTCTTTTGGGACATCGTTTTTGGATATCTGAACCCGGGAAATGGGTGAATTTTCTTCACCAACTTGTTGGGAATCCATGGTGGCTCCCCCCACTTTGGCCATGGCCAACATGGAAAATGTGGTGAGAAACCAATGGATTTCTGGGGTGGCCTATGTTCATGTTGGTTTATTCTGGGTAAATTACAATATTTCACTACCCTGAATTAAGGCCATTTGGGGATGATTTCCCTTACTAACCATGATTCCAGTGAGGTCACAGTGAGGTCGTTATAATTTACCCAGATTATTGTTGTTTTTATTGTCACATGATGTCATTTGTCAGTCATTGTCCCGAAGCTTACTAGCTTAGGTCATATGTCATACCTTAGCTCCATGGCATTGTTACGATCTGGTCGCCAATATGATGTCCATCATGATGTGTGTTATCATGTTGATGGTGTTCTTACCGTTGTGTCAATGTTATTGTTCCTAGTTTTATCGTTATTGTCCTAACGTTATTGTCCTTATTTGTTATTATCCCTATGTTAGCGCTATTGTCCTAATAACATTTGTTAGGTTTATATATCTGTTAGTGTCCTAATCTTATGTTCTTATTCTGATGGTGTTCCTATTATTGTTATTTCTGTGAGTGCTGATAAAAAGTGACCATCTCCGTATGGATAAAAAGTGTCATTGGTCTTGATTGAAAAAAAACAACAATGAAAGTTTATGTTTTATGTTTCCATCAATGAAAGTACCCCAATTTATCGCTGGAAGGTGTTTACGAATGAACATCCCATGTGGTGATACAAGACCATCCCTCAGGGCCAGGTTACCCAGGTTACCCAGGGACATCAGGGACATCGGATCACCAAACATGTCATCGAAATCTGAATTTTCCATGTTCCTCTATGGTTATTCAAAATAGCTATGGAAAATAGCCCATTTATAGATGATCAACATGAAGATCTATCTATTCAAAACGGTGAATTTCCATAGAGGTTCTCTATCCGTGCTGCAGCGAATTCCCCTTCCTTGGATGATCGTCCAATTGTAGGAAGTGTGGATCATCTTAATGAACATTGTCCAATTGGGGCACCTTGAAAGCCTCAACTGGATGGCTTAATACAACGAAAGGGATAGGAAGTGTGGATCATCTGAATGAACAAACAGTGTAGAACTGCTTAGCTGTTTTTTTTGAACAAACTGATTCTATGCAATTTTTGGACAAATCTGCAATCTCTGGAACTAAGGATCCCTTAGTAAAAAAATTACAGACGAAGTGTGGATTACAGCTTTGATAAAATGGGCATTGCTCACAATGCATCGTATCTCACCAGTTCTATCATCTTCCCATTCCAGCGACCAAAACCACAATTCATCACCGCCTGCCCAGTAAACTGTTCCCAGAACATCATAAAAAATGATTTCACAAACATTCGCCTGTTCTCTGCTACAAAACATCCCTGCTACTTTCAGCCAATAGTACCCTCTGGTAAACTGTCACATAACTATGGAAAGATCCACCATTTTTTATGGGAAAACTCACTATTTCAATGGCCATTTTCAATAGCTATGTTAAATTACCAGAGGGTAAGTCTTTTTGTTTTCCCACAACTGTAGTGACTGTAGTGGTGTCAGCTCCCGCCCTCGGTATCCCACAACTGACCTTCGTTTCAGCTTCTTCTTGGGCCTTCTGTTGTGTCTGCCGATGCCTCATTCGATGTGAGCCCGCAGGGTTTAGCCCAGAAATGGAGGTAGACCATGGGGAAAAACATAGATCGGCTTGCGATGGAAACAGACACCAAGTTCTAGGCGGACCCAATCATGCACATCTGCGAGTCTATAAACAAAAAATGCATCATGTACAAACCATGAAGCTACCAAAGCAGCAACGCTCACGCAAGCACTGGCACATCCGGCACTGGGTCAACCGTACTGCATCCGCTGGCAGCGTAGCCTCTGACGCAGCCGGTCTCTCTCCTATGCCACGCGTGAAAATACAGAAAACCATGAGAATTCCCACGTGTCTAGGCAAAGCTGTATGATCTTCAACTTTTTGCGAACTTGGGAACTTGGGAAGTATGCTTTAGCTCAACTTTTATATACTTTTATGATCTTATAAACTATACTTCATGAGCTCTGCAAGTATCATGGCAGCTAAAACAATTTGCTGACTTCAGTGATCATTGCACAGAAACTAAGACCTAAGGCCTGAGGTACACCCATCGCTACCTAACTAAAAACTCACAGGCAAAAGGCTCTGTGAGTTACGTTGTTTCAATTGTCGGGACTGCAGAACACTCACCATGCGATGCTTCGTTGACTTTCCCGGAAATCCTGTTGTTGTTTCAAGGTTTACAGTAAAAAGTGACAGCAAATCCTGCAACTACGCATCAAATGGGGTTCTCATAAGTCTTAGGTCACCCATTTCTCAAGAACCTCTCCTTCAAGTAGTTCTTCTTCATCTGGTGTGCTTCTGCACCTGCCACTGATGGGTTCTAGGCACGGTACCCTGTTGTTTTTCAGCATCCCTTAAGCCAGATGTTGCCAGAATAGGCGTTGTCATGTTGAAATGGCTTCGTGACAACATAATTTTAGGAGTGTTTGGTATTGAGACTCATACCCTTAGCGTATTCTGAGACGTAGTGTGCCCGTAGCATCTGAGAACTTCAGGGCCATGTTGAGGCGTATCGTTGCCCTGGTGACTACCTGATGCCGAAAAAAACCAATGGTCCTCGTTGGTTCAACTGAAAAAAAAAATCGCTAGGGGAGTCATCGAAAGCTGACATAGCGAAGCCATGGCCAGGCCAAAGTCATTGGTTGCTTGATGTGGTTTACAGTAATTGATTGAGTCCGTTTTAATTGCAACTCATGACTCTTTCAGTGGTAATCCCCCCATTCATCAGCTCAGCCAGGGTTCATTACTCCGGGTTTGGCATTTCCCGCCAAATGGACCGTTAATCTGAAATGTTTCGCAAACTATGGCTCCAAAGTTACCAGAAGACAGACCAGAAGTGAACCCTAATTCGATTCAACAACATGAAGGAAAAAATAGCATGGATCCCCAAACTCTCAACTAATATAGCTATGGAAAATGGTCCATTTTGAAAGATAAATTCCCCTCCGGTAATTTGTTACATAACTATTTCAAAATGCCCCATTTAGTTCGTTGATTTACCTATTCAAAGATTGTGATTTTCCGTAGTAAACCGTTAATTAGTTGGTTTACCAGAGGGTACTAAAAATGGTGGATTTTCCCATAGTTTTTCAAACCTCCTCGACGTCGCCTGACTCCTCCAAAGCAATTTGCGCCGCCTTCACGAGCCGCTCCTGCGGCTCATGTTTCTTGGCACTGGGGCCATTGGGATATCGTGTGGGAAACCATGGTAAAATCATTGGGTTTTCGTCGACCATAGAAAACCACAATCCCAATGGGCTGGCTATCATCTATCGAAAAATGATGAAACAATATGTGAAACACAGATGAATTGGCTGATGAACATCCAGGATGAGTTCGGGATTGCCTTTTTTACCGAAGGATGTGCCGAAAAGAGTGGGGATATAGTGGATATGCATCCAACAATCATTGGAAGATGAAAGCGGATACCAACCCCAAAATTCTCCGAATGAGCTTCTGACATTCCATCTTCGTCTTTTGAGGGTTGACCCTCGATATCTGGGTTTGACAAGCCGGGAATACACAATCCCCAACGACCCACATATATGCCAAGTTTGGGTCAAAGACAGATGGGTCGTTGGTCATATTCTTCAAAAAAAGTTTTAACCGCACTGCTTCTTTACCTAAGAAATCAATAGAAATCAGGTCTGGACCAACAGGGGATGAACTGTTGCATGCATCTTCGAAAAAGTGACCAAATTTCGATCCCCAAATAGTTCGCCCATTTTTCGAATGACACCAATTTCTATCCCATCGTCATGCCACCAACGTCTGGCCCAAAAAAAAGGTGGATTCGGTTAGATGATCCCAAGGGTGGTGACTGATTAGACTACCCTCTGGTAAACTAACCTAACTATGGAAAATCACCATTGTTCATGGGAAAACTCACTATAAATGGCCATTTTCAATAGCTATCTTAGTCATTACCAGAGGGTATCAACCCAAACAGTCTTTGGAATAGAAAATTCCTCCAGTGGGAACATGTGGGAACTGTTTGAATACGAATTTTGGTCTCTGAAATCCCCAAAGGTGTGAAACCGGTTCAATCAAAGACCCAAGCCCGTTTCTCTTTATGGAATATGTGTCCTCATTGTGGCGAAAAAAAAAAATCCCACATGTTCTTGGTGAATTCCACCAATTCATCAGCTGAAAACTCCCATAGTCAGTCTAACAGTCTAACCAGATATATGTCTCCAACATCCCATACTTTAAATCTGTTAAAATGCTGTAGAAAATCATGGTACTTCATCGGATTCGGCTTAATATCTCTCATGTTCGTTCCAACAATTGGTGGTATTTAGATGCATTTGGTAGAATCCAGAAAAAAAACAGTTCGAGCTAATGTTAACTATAATGATCATTTATCCATCTTTGAAATCAAAAGAACACGTCATGCTTGCTTGTACATCAAATTGAATCCCCAATATATAGCATCCCCAATATTCAGACAAACCTATATAGTAATCATCAACTCTCGATCTATAAAAATCCCTCATTAATCGTTCTTACTGGTCAAATTCCCTGAAATATCATTCTTCTTTGCTTAAATCGCCATCAATTACATCCTCATCATTTTGATACTTACAACCTATAAAATCCCCAAAAATCATCACAAATCATCACTAAATCTTCCTAACAAAATCCACCAAAAATCCGAAATTTTGAAGATTCTGTGATGATTTGTGATGATTTTGGTTAGGAAGATGGTTGAATGATTGGTTGGGATATGGTTGAATCCCTCTCAATCCTGATCCCAACATATCCCACCTCTTTGGCCTCCGCGAGGCCACCGCCTTGGACGCAGCGGCGCCAGCACGTGCGGCTGCGCTGCAGGCGCTGCTGCGCCGCGGAGATCCTACGGTGCGAAACGGACGTAAGGAATGGGATGATGGGACGATGGGATGATGGGATGATGGGATGATGGGATGTTCATAGTTCATCATAGTTCATCATAGTTCATCATAGTTCATCATAGTTCATCATAGTTCATCATAGTTCATGACGTGTGAATTTGCGAATCGTCATGCAACATTCGGTCATATTGACAATAGTTATAACTATCTGGGAGGATGGGATGGGATAATGGATTGGATCAGTTGCCTACGGAACTAGCAGTGGGAATCCCGACGGATGAATGAACTCTCTGAGTTTACCGAGTCTACGAATCGTCTGGGGTGTTGGATCTTTTTGGTGCAGCTGGGATGGTTGTTTGTTGAAGGGCACATGGACCAATCAGCAAAGAAAAACGTCCAACCTCTCCGAACAGATATTTGATGGAAACCACCTCTAAGTGACAAATTGAAAAATCCGATTAATGTGGATTAAACAATAATAAACCATCCCCCAAATCACCCTAAATAGATGGTATAAAACCATTCCAAATGGGTGGTTTATGGCATTGTTTTACCCACATTAATCCATATTTTCCACCATTCAGGGCAGGGAAGGTTTTCGCCTTTTCGCCAAGGCTCTGCTCATGTAGCTGCTCCCTGGGAACTGCCAGACGAAAACTCAAAGGGCTCGATGCACTCAGTTCACCTGACGTCCGTTCAGAACGAACTGGCCGTTTTCTGGGGAAGAGAGATGAAAAAATGGGGGACCGTTTCCGAAAGGGCCCGTTATGTTCGTTATGGGACGGTTATGTTTATTAAACTACCCTGTCCAAGTATTGATATGTGTTCATCATAAATGAAAAAAAAAGGCCTAGTTATGCACCTGATGACCTATAAAAAGGGGGCCCTTCCTGGTTTACCACTTATATCCATTTATCATAAATTCCCTGTTGGTTCAATGACTGCCAGACGTTGGGTTCAACGAAATGGCTATGCTGGGGCCTGCCAAGGATTGCCCGTGGGGCATTCGATTGGATGACCTTCAGATACATGCAGTATCCTGAAGTCATGCAATCTCAGCGCCAACTTCGCACACGCAACTCTGGAAATTCATGAATTATCATGAATTTGGAACTTGCTTCACTTTTTCAGCTACACAATGCGCCACAGATGTTTCTCCGCATCCAAAGGCAGGCTGTTAATAATGCGCTGCGCTGAGCGGCGTAGACTTTGGTATCCAAAGCGATCTAACCTTGCAGGCATGAAACTCAGATTGTATACTTGTCTCAATTTCCAACAGCAAAGCATCCAGAATTTTCTGGGGGAAATGGATGGATTCCATGCCTCAAAAAAATGATCAGCCGCTCCAAAGTCACCACGACAACGCCGACCAATGGTCAACACGACCCTCGACAAGTTGGGCCTGGCGAGCTGCTGCGAGCCGCAATCTCCTGGCTCGGGGCCACAAGCGGCCGCCCGGCCGATCTCCCGATAGGGCCGATAAGTCGGGCCGAGTCGGGCCGAGAGAGGATGAAAGTCACCCTTTTTTTCGACCTCACTACACAAGCGTTTGAACCTGAAACAATGCCCTTTTTTTAGTGTCTTGGGGATGGAACTAACCAGTTTATCAACATAGGATATTTCACCATATTTCACCAACCAAAGATACCAAAGAACCAACACAGCGAGGACTTGAACCACCAAAGAACATGGCCGCGCGCAGATAAGTCAACTCAAAATGCCGGAATAGTCAAGGAAGAAAAGTAAGGAGATGCTTGATCAGTGGGTTTCTTGATGGTTCGCTATCATGAAAAGAATGGGATTAAGCAACACTGGAACAGAACACGACAGACCATTGAAAAATCATGGAAATCGCTAAGAAACGGAGAGATCGATGAGACATGGCAAAAAAACACGGACAGAAAAGCGGGTTGCTGAGATCAATCACAGGCAATCAACCAACAACTCACTGACCTCGAGAAATCTAGAGTATACATCTCCGAACAGCCCAGCGATGGTAATGTGGATTGGTGATCCGAGCCAGCAAAACGACAGAAGCTGAGAAATCAGGGGAGTGCCCAAAAAAATCTAGGAATCTAGGCCCAACAAAAAGTGATGCTTTGCCATTAAAAAAAAGAACCCCAGGTCCAACTCAGACAACCTGCGGGGTGTTGTTTTCTGACACAACGAGCATTTTTTTGAGGTGCTGTAGGATGCTGGCATCCTGCTGGCTGGCAAGTGGATATTCCTCCAAAAACAGGGCCTATGCTGCGATCAAAATCCAAGAGAACTCGGCCACTTAAACAGTGGTAAATCCCATTGACATGGCCAACACTGAACCTGCTGCTGTAGAAAAATCTCATGCCCCAGCCTCTCCCGGCGGTCCTCGGGCAAGATGGTCTCTGAGCTAAAATCAGCATCGATCTGCTGTCGTAAGTGCTGAAGCGCCTGCCACGCTCCAGGAGGCATCATGATGGTCATGATGCCATGGTCATATTGGGATCTTCATCTATCCACTTATCTGAATCATATGGGTGTGTCTGACCAAAATACATGGCTTAACCCAGAATTGTCGAACTAAAATGCCTACGAATTGGGGGTATCTGCCGTTCACAAACCCAACTACCATATCTTCATTCCTCTTTTCTAATCAGTGAGCTGGCATTCCCTCAATCCCGGGCGCTAAAAGTCAGGCCAGTTGCAACTGGGGCTCCAACTTGGGGCGCACCAAAGCCATATATTTTCAATCAGGATTTGTGAGGGGCTTATGATTTTGCATCGCGCCCATTCCTTGGACAGACAGGAAATTGCTTGCTTTATCTAAGGTTAGTCTCCTGCAAAGTTGACATCTTTTGAGAAGTCAGGTAGAAATTCTCAAGGCCGACCCCTGCAAACCAGGCCTCGTGTCTGTCATCCAAGAATGCCGACATGCCATGGACCCGGGAAAAGTTGGAACCAGTCCGGGAAAAATCATGGAAAGGACTCAGAAAATTTGGATCATCATCCCACAACGGAAAAAACGTTGGGAATGAACATTTCTTGCTAGGATGTTGCCTCAAAGTTTGGATGTCTGCCACATTGAGACCCTCAGAACTAACAGACGACCACAGGACTAGAGCAACTTTGTGGCGGCAGAACTGAAGGGGCCAGAAAAAACACATGCAACGGTAACAAACACGAAAGATTCTACAAATTGAAGAATTGCAGGGCAAGATACCAAGAGCAAATGCCATGTAAATTCTCCAAAACTCTATCAGCCACGGTATTAAAGGCCATGTTTGCAGATGTTTGATGGTCGTACAATGACATCAACCATCATTTCTGGTGAGGTTGAGGTCACTACGAATCGACCATCCAGGATAAGAACATATCTGAACTGTGCTCTTGAGCCACCAGTGCCCCAGTGCCGAATGTTAGGTCCATGACTCCGTGAGAGGCCAAGGCGCAGTTCCAGGATCGGATAAATTTCGGATACGATCTGAATTTCTTTGAAAATGGGGGGTATTGAATTTCTTCACGCCAGTTGAAGAGGGTAATGATCATTGATCAGTGGACATTTAAAATCTTCCCTACCATTCAAAACGCTTGGTTTTTTATCCCTGGAGCTCAGAGCGAAGTCTGCCGGAACACCGGAACACCTCTCGCTTACCCTGATGGCTTAAATATGGCCCCCTGGCCCAAAATGGGAACCAAAATGAGTGGATGCTGCATATGGCTTAGGCCAAGATTCAACCCCCTCTTTTGTATATGGCTGTGTCTTTTTGGCCTAAGCTGTAGTCCAAAACGTCCATTTGAGATGTTGAAACGGGCATAGATGTATGTAGGCCCGTTAAAAGGTGGTGTCCATTGCTGTCCCAGAAACCCAACCGTTCACCTCGTGATTTCCTGAGAACTGACGGCGATCGTGAACACCGTCCTAGACGGCCCCTGCAGTTACGGTCCTTGACAGTTGTAAATCGGATCATAATTCCTGCAACTAAGGTTCTATCTATTACATCACATACATATATATATATAATGTGTGCATATATATATAATGTGCATATATATATATATAATGTGCATATATATATATAATGTGCATATATATATAATGTGCATATATATATATAATGTGCATATATATAATGTGCATATATATATAATGTGCATATATATATATATATATAATGTGCATATATATATAATGTGCATATATATATATAATGTGCATATATATATATATAATGTGCATATATATATATATATATATAATGTGCATATATATATAATGTGCATATATATATAATGTGTATATATATATATATATATCATTTTCTCATGAGGTTATAAGCCACTTAGAACTGTTAAGGGTTATAAGATGTTATAAGTGTGAAGGGCCATTCACACCCCACAATCCGAAGAGGACCTTCTTCTTTTGCGCCCCGCGGGTCTTGACGCGGTGCACCAAAGCAAGTGAAACACAACGGGATTTTTGGGGCAAACGAAGGCGCCCTGGCGGGTAGAGCCCTAAAAATATCGGAAGCTCGTATCTTGTCTCAGGTAATCTATAAATAGAATGCAATCTCATCGTATTTGATCTACCTCCATCCATATCATCTATCTACTGTAAACGTCATCTATCTTAGATAATGAACATGGTTCGCATTCGCGGATTCCTGACATCGTCACATCGTAGTTGTCATGAGTCGCGATGGAGGTCCCAGGAACACTGGGATTATCACTGTGCCGAAAGTGCCAGGAGTATCACATGATTCGCCATCACAAAACATCATACCCTCTGGTAAACTAACATAGCTATTGAAAATGGCCATAGAAATAGTGGATTTTCCCATTAAAAATGGTGGATCTTTCCACAGTTATGTGACAGTTTACCAGAGGGTACATCCCATCCTCCGTTCATATTCAACACCCCAGAGTCACGGTGCAATTTGTTGGGGAGAAAAACAGATCTTTGGGACATTCTGAGGATGGAAATGATATCAGGGGATGGAATGATTGCCACTTAAGAGGTGGATTCCCATCGAACATTCCCATTCCATTCCCATTCGTTTCATCCCAATTGTTGTTGGTGAATCATGATATTCCCATCTAATATTCCCATGAAATCTCCATGAAATCTCCATCTTTTGTTGCTTACCCTCTGGTAATGACGTTCACAGTTTGCGAACTTGAAGCCATGACCCAGTCGAAATGTCGTGAGTTTTCCCATGAATAGCATGGTGGATTTTTTCCAGTTCGTTTTTTGTTAACGTTGAAACCAGGTCGGGTAATGATAGGATTCCCTACTGGCGAATGGTCCTTTGATTTGGCTCGAATGACACTCCGCCGCCAGAGGCCTGGGAGACCACTCTTGAAGTGGTCCAATTTTCTTGGGATGTTCCCGTGCCGCTGATGTCCCAGGTGTCCCAGGAAAAAAGCTGCCATACTGTCCACATCCACCATGCTGAACATCTTGAAACCAGCAAGATTTTGAAACTCGAAGCCCGCATCCATCTATCAGCGCCTCATCTTGGGCACGAAAAGGCATCCGTTCCGGGAGCATCCAAGTGTTCTAGATGGCATTTGCACAATTTGTGAGACTCAAGCATCCACGCTATCAAGAATTTCCTGCGGCTGGCACAGTCAAATCGAAGTCGCTAAGACTTCCAATGGGGTCGACCCTTGGTGCCTGAAAAATTAGGAGAAAACCCGAGTCCATCCACTGGTTCGTTTGGTCATTTATAATCATGTTCCATTTTTTGTCCCACGTTCAAAGGCTACTTGAAGGCGATCCCCCAGTTTCAGCCACGGCCCTTTTCCAGAGGTAGGTCTAGGTCGGAATTGGAGCTCCGAAAACCACAGATGTTGCTCATGGAAAAAGTCAGACACGACCCGATGAATGATTTTGGTGGGATAACTCTTGTGGTGGTTTGTTCACCCGGCAGATTTGAACAATATGGATCCAGTGTTGGAAAAAAAATCCATTCACTGGCCAAAAACGAATCTCTTCCCACTCGCAGCAGGGCCTTCATTAGCATCTCTTCATCATCATCAAAAAGTTGATGGTTATTTCTGTAGGCCGGTGCTGCTGCCTGCGCTGTCCGCGATGTCGTTTCGGCTTAAAAAAAACAGTGGATCTGCTGGAGTCAACGGGCACCGGTCGGAATCGGTTGGGTATATCTTTAAAAGAGGTTTCCATCCACTTTCGTAGGCGTTCTTTTTTGGAGTTTCCCTTGATGAATCTAGGAACCAGTGGGAAAAGGAGATGTATCTCGGTCTGATTGGGCTTCGCGGGGGCTCCACTTCATGCGACACCAGAACCATCATACGGCAGTTGGCAGCGGCCACTGCTCAAGTCTGAAAATCACGGGGCAACCAAAAAAACATTTTTTCGAAATAAAAAAAAAAAAATGTTCAGAAAAAATCGCTAGCCAACAACCATTGTATAAACCATGGTGATAAACCCCGTTTTCAGAAACACGCATTGATGGAGCCCGGGATGCACCCTGAACGCACGCTTAGTGAAGGTCATCCCAGCACTGGGAAACCCTGTTAGATTGACCATAGTAAATTGATAGACCCATGGTTTCCATATAAGTGTATATGTATATTATATAGATATTCCATATGTATATGTATCTTATATCTATGTATATATGTGTGACTGTGTGTTTAAGGCTTAAAAAACATGGCTTCAAGCCTAGATCGTCACTTCAATCAACCCGTTGATCGTTGAAAATTGATCTTCATTTTAACCAATCATACTCCCAGTGTGATTTTGTAGTTTCATACACCATTATATTCCATGATGTATAAAACATTATGATATTCTTATATTGTTATGTGACTATAGTATTATACTGGTTGGTGGTTTCTGTTCGCGACAGGTTCACCCGGGTAATATTATCGGGGGTACTAGCACTGACAGTCCTGACACGTCTGCGGCCAGAAAAGCCAGGTACTAGTCCACACCTCAAACTCCTTGCGTTAGACACACAAAGTCCTCCACGGTCAGACAAGTGGTCCTGCGCTTTTAACTCTCTTTCCAAAGTCCTTCACGTTGGACTCACCGGTCTTCCGACCGATCTTTGAGCTTGGAAAAAGGGCTATGGTGAAATGCCCATTGATTGAAATGACAATTGCAAAGTCATGACATGAATGCTAAATAGGGAATATGCAATTCGCACACCCCCTGACTGTGTTTCGCTAGAGGCACAGTCACACGAAAAAAAGCAAAATATATCTCACACCATCTGCACGACAGTGTTACATTCAAAGCTCAAGCCCTCTCTCAGATGTTCTTTTTCCGCTCTTCTTTTCCAAAATTTTTCACTTTGCATGTCATCGCACCTTTTTTCACGTTTCGCTTTCATTTGGCCTCGCACACCAATTACACGGCTGATACGCAATGGAATATCCATGCATTTTTTCGCAGTGAGTCACATCGGTGTGCTGGGGTCCATTCAATCCAGCTCCATACATGTCTCTCCCTCGAGGATGCCATCCGCGAAGTTGAGGAACACACTGCTCACAGATATCGGTGTGTCGCACCATCTGTGAATTTCTCAACCCCTAGCAATCCTTTCGGAAGTGATATTTCTTTCCAAGGCCTGTAAAGTACAGGTCAATCGATGGGTCAGCACTGGAAGATGGATCCGCAGGGATCTGAGCACCAGTGCTGGTGGATGAGGAAGCTGCAGCTTTTGGCTCGGCTGCAGCATGATCGGTTCTGATCTGCGTCATCCCTGTTGATGTCGTTTCATTTGGCTTCTTTTCATCACCTTTCTTTCCTTTTGACTTTGATTGCAAAACTTTTGGTGGCGGAGCAACTTCTTTCTTTTCTGCTGCCGCCTTGGGAATCGCTGGTTCTTGGATTCCTGCAGAGGCTGTTTGATCTTCTGGTAGCGGAGCTTCCAGTTTTGAAGCTGGTTGGCCATAAGTGTTCTTCTGTCCGTCCTGTTTGGACGCAGAAGACTGGCCCATACTTTTGGCTCTTTTTACAGCCTTTGGTGTTTCTTCCTTTTCTTCTTTTAGTGGTGGGCCACTTCGCCTGGGGAGTTCGTCCCGAGATTGGTCTCCTCCACCAAATCCCAGAACCGTCTCACCCGGCGGGGAGGTTGGACAATCGGTCTGTGACGCTAGACCCGACGTCCTGGCACTCCCAGATGGTTGGCCGCTTCGCCTGGGGAGTTCGTCCCGAGATTGGTCTCCTCTACCAAATCCCAGAACCGTCTCACCCGGCAGGGAGGTTGGACCACCAGTCTGTGACGTCAGACCTGATGTCCTGGCACTCCCGAGCGATTGGTCTCCTCCACCGAATCCCAGAACCGTCTCACCCGGGACGGAGGTTGGACCATCGGTCATCAGACCCGATGTCCTGGCACTCCGTTGAGCGAGTTCGCCGCGGGATCGATCTGATCCCACAGCCGTCTCAGCCCTGAGCAGTCGTCGCTGCCAGCCGCTTTGAATGGCCAACGTGACCAACACCACCACTATTGTATATACCATCATCATGTCAAAGAAGATGGATGATTCCTCTCCTGCATCTCCATCTTCATCTTCGGCCTTCGCTCGGCTGAGCATGGCCATGATCATCGCCATCCTGACCATATCTTTTGGGGACTTTATCCCTCCTTTCGCTTCTTTCGTCTCTATGGCCGGCTCTCTCACCACGCCATTCTCTTCTTTTTCTTCGGTAGGCCCTCTCACCACACCGAGATCTTCCTTTTCTTTTTCTGTTTTGATCTTTCTATCTGTCATGCCCATGGCTTTCTTCAGCTCCTCCAACTTCAATGCCGCCAAAGCTTTGGTGCCCAGGTCGGCGATCATGCCGTTGCCTGGAGTGTGTCGGAGGATGACATCTCCACTCAGCACCCGCCATCTCATGTAGCGAGCCCTCTTTCTCAAGTGGCGCGTCCTCCAGGACGCATTGTCGCCTCCAACTATGGCGATGGCTGAGGCAGAATCCGAGTACTGCCAACATCGCACTGCCTTTTCCAAAATTTCTTCCACCACTACTCGGACTGCCTCTGCCAAAACTCCTCCTTCCAAATCTCCAACAGCTCCGACTCTGCTGTGGATGCGGTTTGAAGTTGTTGGCGCGAGCTTCGCCACAAAATTGGAGCTCCCAGCCACATCACCACTGAACATCCGTGGCCTTCATTTCCATAGGCCGCGTCAGTGTAGACCAGGAGGTCTAGGCAACCATCTTCGTTTCCTCCAAAGCGAATCCCTTCTTGGATGGAATTCGCAAGGTATTTCCAGATCTGAGGCGCTGCAGCAATGACCTTGGAAGGTCGTCTGGTGGTCCATCTGGAAATTCTGGACATGACGTACATGATGTCGGGGCGACACCTGGTCACCAGCCAGGTCAGCTCACCTACGATTCTCTGTGCTTCTCGGACCTTTTTCCACTGTCTTTTCTGCATCCTCCTCACCATCACTATCCAAACTTCCATCCTCCTTTGACATGGGAATCTTCTTCAATCCCCACTTCTGTCTGTCCATCCCCATGTTCTTCTGCAAGAGATCCAAAGTGTAGGAGTGTTGAGTGGCGCACCACACTCCATTTTGATCTCGAGACAACTCCATACCCAAAAACCGGGTGGTTTGCTGACAGCCCACCTTCTCAGGGACGGAGGTTTCCCACTTGGATTGGATGCAGCTGATCCAAGCTTCTGCAGTCTCCTCTGAGGCAAGGACCAAAATGTCATCAACATAGGTGAGCATGAGCCCTTGCAAATCGCCAGTTTCTTCTTGGCGGATGGCCCATGTACTCGGCTCTGATTCAAGCTGATGCAACCTCATCTTTCCAACTCTCATCTTTTCCATCTCCTCATCTCTATAATCCTTCCAGAGTTTCGGAGACCTCCGGAAGCCATAAAGAGCTCGCAAAACCTCCCAGAGCTGATAGGGAGGAAAGTAGCCAAGTTTGACCAAAATTGGTGGTGGCCTAAGAAGCATTGGCAGCGGAGCTTCTTCGCCTTCTTCTTCAAAAAACCAATCTTCACCCCCCTTTTCATGTTTCCAGGGAGCGTTCAAAAAGGCGGTGCGAATGTCCACATTGATTCCGCACCATTTGCGAACTGTGGCCAGAGCAAGCGCCAGCCTAAGGGCAGCAGCATCTGCCCCTGCCGCAAAACAGTTTTCATCTCCACCCACAGTCTCATAGTTGCCACATGCGACTATGCGGCATTTTCGCTTTCCCCGACGCTCAGCCGGGTCTGGCTTCACCGTAAATACGGTCTTGGAAGGTAGTGGAATCGCTCCTCTTTCTTTGAGATACTTGTCGCTCTCCTCTTTCGTCAAAAGCTTCAACGCTTTCTTTTCTGAGAAGAGTGAAGTGATCTCATTGGAAATGGCCTGATGCCAAAGGTGTTTCTTTTTGACCACCTCGGCAGTGCCCACAATTTTCGTTTGGAGCACTTCTCCTTCATCCTCTTGATCCATCTCTTGCATGGCTTTCACCCCCCTGAGTACGGCCTCAACAACCTCTTCATCATCATAGAAGGCATGTTCTGCCTCTTCCTGTATCACCTTTTCCCGCTTCAGCCTGTCTTGCATGCTTTCTTCATCTTTCTCCTCTTGTACCTTTCTGATCATGGCTTTTCCTCGAATTCTCCTTCGAAGATCCAAGGGAGTCAGATTGTCTTCTAAGGCAATCCACGTGTCCTCAGTGACTGGCTCCACGGTGTTGGTGATGACAGCCCTGGTCAAGGTTTGTGTGTTGTCTGAGCGAAGTACCCAATGCCCATAGTTCCGCCAGGAAGGGGTGAGGTAGTGAACCTCTTCGTTGTTGGGTTCCATGTCCTTTGTGCGCCAATACCTTCTTCTGATCAGCACTTTGGACATGAATGGTGGGATGGCCCCAATGGCCTCTGTTCTGTTTCTCTTCCATACTTCATTGAGATATCGAACAGCAATCGGCCACCATTCGATACCCACCTGCGCGCCACGCAGGATTTTCTTCGTCTCTGTCTTCATTGCTTGTACGGCCCTTTCTGCTCGGCCGTTGGTTTGGGGGGATACCCCTGGGGTTGTTGTTGTGAGGATGCATCTTTCCTTGCACCACTTTTCGATGTACGCTCCAGTG